TTTAAAAAATATTATATAATATATAATTATTAAAATAAATAATAGTTATTACTTTGTAATAATTTAAAATTTCAAAATTTTATATGATGAATGTGTTTTTTTAGATTTTCGTAGAAGCTGCTTACAAGGATGGAATAAAAAAAAAAATTGAAATCACCGACTTACAAGCGTCTGCCCCCCAACAAAACACATCCCCACCGTCATTCCTCTTTAATCAGTCAATCCAAAATATCTGAAACCCTCCATTTCCATTTTTCAGCCTCTCAATCATCAGTCATCACTTCTAGGGTTCTGTTGCAACCCGGCACCCGACAATTCCAAATCCGATCGGAATCCGAATCCAACTCGCCGGCGAATTTGTAAGGTAAGCTGTCGAAAGATTTTCCATAATTCTCCTCATATTTTGTTGGTTGTAGAAGATAATTTCGTCAATATTTGTGGATCGTCCAGTTTTAGGTTTTATAGCCGATATCAAACACCATTTCCAGATCTAGGGTTTTTCAAATCTCTCCCCCATGTACAACGGAATTGGGTTAACCACCCCTCGGGGCTCTGGGACCAATGGCTACATTCAGACAAATAAGTTTTTCATCAAGCCCAAGGTGAATAAGGTTACCGAGAATACCAAGGGTTTCGAACCTGGTCAGGGGACTGCCGGCCTCACCAAGAAGGCCAATAAGGACATCCTCGAGCACGATCGCAAGCGTCAGATCGAACTCAAGCTTGTAGTGCTCGAGGACAAACTCACTGAGCAGGGCTACACCGATGCTGAGATCGCCGAGAAACTTCTTGAGGCGAGGAAGGTGTTGGAAGAAGCTGCTGCTGCTTCCGATGAAAGCATTGTGCTATCTGAGAAAAGGTAACTAGATCGTATTATTCCTTGTCTACATTTTTGATATCTATATTATCTGTTGGGTGTTGGGTTTATGATAGTATCATGGTTTATGTATTATGTAGCTATTTTTATTTATTTACTCTTGGGTTTGTTCAGGAATGATACACAGACTCACCAAGTTGCTGCCAGAAAGGAGAAGCAAATGGAGACCTTAAGAGCTGCTCTTGGGATTGGTCAGGCTGAATCTAACCATCAAATTGATGAAGGTGATGGTGATGCTGCAATAATGGGTCGAAAGAGTTATGATGGGAAGCCACATGAGAAGCGTGAACATGCTTTTTTGGATAGAGATGCTAGGTGGAAGAAACTTTCTGATGATGATTCTGAAGCTGGGAGAGATGATAAGAAAAAGGCTTCTAAGAATGTTAAGAGTAAAAGGAATGAAGGAGAAGCTGATGAAATTGATGATACAAGGAAACACAGGAAGGAAGAAAAGAGGAGGAAAGATGATGATTCTGATTCCTTTTCTTCTGACACAGATGATAAAAAAGAACATGAAAGACGTACTCATAAAAAGGATCCAAAAGGTCGAAGGAATGACAGTGACAGTGATTCTGATGTTGATATTGATGTGAAGAAGAAGAAGAAAAAATCTGCAAAGATACACAAGAGAAGCAGAAGACATGACAGTGATGATTCTGATTCAGATAGTGACACTGCTTATTCTGATTCATCTGAGTCTGCTAGTGATGATGCTGAAGCTGTCAAGATTTCTTCCAATGACAAGCAGAAGAGGTCTCATAGGAGCCATGATTCAGATGATAATTCTAGCCTTGATGAACAATTGTCTATACAGAAGACAAAATCTGTCAAGGGACACCATCAAAGTCGAAGACATGACAGTGATGATTCTATTTCTTCTAGTGATGATGATGGCACTATCAAGATTCCTTTCAAGAAAGATGTTAACAAGGACAAAAATGCTCGTAGGAGGCATGACTCAGACAATGATTCTAGCCATGATGAAGGCCTGTCTACACGTAAAACTCAGAAGGGAAGTCATCATGAGAGAACAAGGCAACATCATGATTCTGAGGTGGGCTCTGATAGAGATGATTGGACAGAAAAGATGAGATATGAGGTTGGAAGACATAAGGATGAGCATACTGTGGAGCACAGGGGAGAACGGGATGACATTGATGATCGATCTGATAGAGCAAGAAAGCACAAGGTCATGGCAAGGAGAGGTCATATTACCAATGATGGTGATTCTGACAAAGGAACTGATAGGAAGGAAAAAACGGTTAGGGGAAGAGGTAAGAGACATGATAGTGATGATGAAGATTCTGATTCTGCTTATGTCTGGAAAAATGGCAAGGGAGTGATGCGTGAGCAAAAGGCAGCTAAAAGGGATTCTGTTTCTCCAATTGTTGATAGAGATCATACTAGTTACAGTGATGATTCTCTTGAAAAGAGTAGTGATAGTGATTCAGGTGGTGATATTAGTCATAAAAAACATAAGACAACTGGAAAAAACATTGCCATTGATAATGAAAAAAACAGGGGGGGTGCAACTAGATGTGATGATAGAAATGAAAGAAGTCTGAATGATTATGATAGATTGGAGGGATTGTGGAAATCAGAGGGCAATCATGAGGTGATGAGGGGCAAGAGGAAGTTAGATGATGGATATGTTGATGGGCAACCAGAATCAAAATCAAGGAGCCGGAATATCGGAAAAGATGTGGAAGAGTACAAGAGGGATAAACCAGAGGATACTAAATTTGACTCTGAATCATTGAGAGCTAATAGAGAAAGGGATAATCGCAGAAGGGATGATTTCTCTAGGTTAATTAAATCTAGAGTGGAGTTTAATGGTGACAATGGGCGAAAGGAAGGCAGAATACATAATAAGGATAATGAAACACAAAGTGAAAATAGGTGGAGGGACAGATATTATGAAGACCATAGAGGCAGTAGAAGGCATAGTAGGGATGAAGAGGAGCATAGAGGGAGAAAGCACCTGAGAGATGACCATGAAGATAGACGATATGGAAAAGATGATGATGAGCAGCAGTATGGCAGCCAAAGAGAAAGAAGAGGTGATGATGAGGAGTACAGAAGTAAAGGTCATGAGAGGGACAGACAATCAGATTATTCCAAGAGAGCTAGACGTGATGATCAAGTTGACCATGAAGATAGACGATATCGAAAAGATGATGAGGAGCTGCGGTATGGAAGCCGAAGAGAAAAAAGAGGTGAGGAAGAAGAGGAAGAAGAGCCTAGAAGTAAAGGTCATGAGAGGGACAGACAATCAGATTATTCCAAGAGAACTAGACATGATGACTTTGAATCAAGTAAGAAAAAATCCCGTGGATATGACAGAAGTGATGATGGCAGGTCCAATCGTTGAGACTAGTTGTTGATTGCAACTACCTTGCAGCAGTACTTGTGAGTGTTTTGATAAAATAAGTTATTATCCTTGGTTATATATTGTTTTTTAGAGATAAGATTACGGAACTAAGTTACTGCCTTGTTTGTTGTCTAATTGTTTTTCATGTTTGTTTTTCCTTTATTTTTTTACTCTAGGTTGCCATTGCTTTTGTTCCTGGCATAGAGTGTCCACCACCCCCCCCCCCCTAAAAAAAAGGAGCCAGTTTCTCTTCTTGTGTCACAGTTGAACCTCAATAATATTTGTGGGGTCTTGCATATCTATTTCTGATCGAGGCTGTCAAATGATCTTCATTTCATGATTTTCTGCCATATTGAAAACTGATTTTTACTTTAGAAATCAGTTCTAAATTTGAGGCTGATTGTGAGTTGGAAAGTTTTGAGTGGGGAGTTAAGTCATTCAATCAGGTGGTAGTTTGCTAAGTAAAATAGGTTTCTCTTGTAGTATACAGGAAATGTTTTAAATTCATTGCGTTTTATCAAGCTGTAGTCTGGATTAAATGTTAATACATATTTTTTGGCCGACAATTAAATGTTAATATTTGTTATAGCATTTTATTGAGCTGTAGTCTGGATAAAAATGTTTGTAGTTGGTAAATCCAATTACTTCCAGCATAGGATGGAGTTCTTTATTTAGTTAATTGAGTAATGCTGTGATGTCAAAAATAAAAAATTGAGTTTACTTTTTTTTGACTTCTACAATTTGATTTTCTGAATGGACAGATGGAATTTCCTATCTTCTATCATTAGTTATACTAGTTTAGTGGCGTCTAATGTGAACCTTGATAGGGTAATGTGGGCTGTTTAAAACTTCATAGCTATTGATGAGGAATAACCTAGTGTTGTGTTTGAATATTTTTGGGTTATTATCTTAACGAAAATACTGGCTGCAGGTACAAGTTCTACACCATACCAGCCACTTTTTCACTTCTAGTTGAGGAGAGCATAAACGATTTCTTTGAGATGTTGAATTTGCTGATTATTTGTTATCTGAGTTACTGATCCAGGTTGTAATTTGTGACCTTATATGTCCAGGTTTTAAGCAGCCATCAATTTGGCAGAAGGTTTCTTCAAGCCAAAACTAGGACTTGAGTTCGGGGACTCGCAGGCAGTCTTTTCCCTTTTTGCGTACCCTGTATTTTGCTTATTTTCTGTTACTGTTGAGTGTTGTTTCAGATTTGGTACCTCCTTATTGATGCCTATATCTGCTTGGGACATTTATATCAGTTATTATAAAGTAGTTTTGTGAACGTAGGCAATTCAAGTCGTTTGTTTAAATGTACAGCATAGATTGAGAAGTAGGGCTTCTTACCGAACGGACTGGCTGGTCTCTGGTCACAAAATCGATGTTCGAGACTGGTCCTGGACCTGTTAAGGCCTGGGCCGCTCATTTTTTCCCTTTTTGGTACGTCATTTCAATTTTAATTGGTTAAATGCTTAATTTGGTCCCTTAACTTTAAGAAATGAA